TGGGTGCTGAGGCCCACCTTGGCCAGTTGAAGGAAGGACTTTTGGCTGGAATTCGAGACTGCAGGATGGTGGTGTGAGCTGGGCATGGCACAGCATGGTGTTGGGGGTGGACAGAGGGCAGTGCCAGTCCTGACTTGATAGCTGTAGTTGTGTGTGTTTGGGGGAATCTGGGCAGAGCCTCCGTGTTCTCCTCTCATACTTACCGAGTGCACACTGAGCAGGCTCTCCTGTCAGCGTTTTGGGGATACACGGGTGAACAAAATAAACCAAAGATTCCTGTCCTCACGGGCGGCCTCGCTCTCACTTGATCAGGTCACTGCAAGGTTTATGTGAAATCCCATGCACGGTGTTGAGCTCCTACTGGGCATTCAATAAACGTGTTTCTCTTCTACTGGAAGCCCTTGGTTGTACCGGAATCTCCTGGCAGTGGCTATGATAGGTGGCTCCTAGGCACTTGCTCGCATACCCCTGGGGCCAGGTCTCTCACTTGTTCTCAGGGAAGCCTCTGCCCAGTGATGCTTTTTTCCTCTGCTCTGAAGGGCCCGGGGTGGGGGGGTGGGGTCTCCCCAGCTCCACCGTCTTAGGCCTTTTACTGCGTCTCTTGCAGAAGGGCCTACCACTGCCGCTGCCGTTCCCGCTGCTGGAGGTGGCAGTGCCCGCGGCCTGCGCCTGCCTCCTCCTCCTCCTCTTGGGCCTCCTCTCAGGGATCCTGGCGGCCAGAAAGCGCCGGCAGTCGGAGGGCACCTACAGCCCGAGCCAGCAGGAGGTGGCCGGAGCCCGGCTGGAGATGGACAGCGTCCTCAAGGTGCCGCCCGAGGAGAGACTCATCTAGGCCCTCCTGGCTGCAGCTCCAGCCCGTGAGGGCCTCGATTTCTACCTGGAGACCCAAGGAGGCCACTTCTGGGAGCCTGCAGGGAAATGGCTGGCCACTTCTTAGCCTTAGGGAGCTGCTGCAGGGCTCAGGATACCTGCTGGGCAAGTGTCCCCTTTGCCAGGAGCCCCTGCCCCTGCCCCGTACTGGGCTGAGGGGAAGGGGCGCGCTCAGGGAAACAGAGGGGCCTGTGCAGTTGTGGACATTTACCATCCAGCCACCAGGTCTCGCCTCGGCAGACGCACGGCTGTGCTGGGAGAATCACCTGTGGGTGCACATGATGTGTTTTGGTGTGTGTGTGTACCTGGGACTGTTGATCTGCAGATACCCATGTGAGTGTTAGGGATGGGCTCTTGGGCATGTTGTCCTTGTTTGTGTGTGTGATTGTGTAGTGGGTGCAGGTGGCCCCACAGAGGAGCAGCTGGGCGGAGACCACCTTCTCAGTCCCGGGACTGGGCTGGCCCAGGGCCCCGAGTGCTCCTGGAGGCCAGGCCAGGGCTGGCCCAAGGACCAGAGCCCCAGCTCTGGCAGCTTCTCCCACCTCCCGCCTCCGGAGGCTGCCCCCAGCCTGGAGGCAGCTGGAAATCAGCGGGATGGGGGGCAGGAGCCAGAGGTTAATGTGTGAGCTCCCGGTTCCCCAAACAGGTGCTCCTTGAGGGAGATTTGACTGCCCTGCGCTGGAGCCAGGCCCTGTCTGGGATGTGGACTGCGGGGCAGACCTACAGGAGCCGGGACAGGTGTGTGTGGGGGGGTGGAGTTGTGGGGGAGTGTCTGGGTCTTCACAGTCTGCCTCCTGTGGGCCTGTCGCTCGGACAACGCCGGGAGCAGCCGTGGCCTACCTCACAGGGCTGTTGTGAAGATGGTGGGTGACTGTGGGGAAGGATGGGGCTCTGGGATTCGTTACATTCCAGTCTGCTGTGGGGCTGCCCGGGTCATCCTGTTAGGTGTCAGGAAGGGAGAGGGAGCGCGTGGGGAAGGGGCCCCCCGAGGGGCAGCCAGGGGGCGATGCCCACCTTGTGCTTCTCCAGCTCCTCCCGCACCAGCGAGGTTGCTCCTTCACCTGCAGACCAGTCGCCTCCCTAACGGTCGCTGGGAGGATTCGAGGAGAGGATGTGCAGGAAGCCCTCAGGGTTGTTCCCTGAGGCAGGTGCTCAGCAAACATTGGCACCGCCTCTGTGTTGGGGCTGGTCCTGTGGACAGACACAGATGAGGGGGAAGAGCTGGCCGCTGTGCTTCCGGCCCCTTCCCTGGTGGTGCCACCACACTGGGATCTCTGATAGGCACCCGTCTGAGGGCCTGGCCTCTGAGCTTCAGTCCCTTTGTCCCCGACCTGGAGATGTGCCCTTTGGTCCTTCCTGTTTCCCAGGCCAGCACCCCCTGTGCCAAAACCAGGAGACTCCTTTCCACTTCTTGATTGGAGGTAGACCTTACCCAGCCCCCCCAGGGGTCTCATCCAACTTCCAGAGGCACAGGAATCAGTGGGAGGTGGAGCCGTGTGGTGATGGGGCCACGGGATGGGGTGGGAGGGCTGAGGATGGACACTAGGCTCCTGGGGCTTGCTTGATCCTTAGCCTGTAGGAGGCGGGACCAGCTTTCCCTGTGGCTCCTGGGAAAGGCAGGGAGAAAACATCTGGTACCACGAGCTTAGCCAAGCTGCCGCCTTGATTAGTTCATCAAGTCAGAGATTTGGCAAAGCTGTTTTTGCAGATTCCTAAGAAAAGACATTCTAGGTGGAACCCCGGTGTATAAAAGCTGGGTGGTTCTTTTTTGTCCTCCTCTTGTTCCTGAGAGTTCTGAGAACTTGTAATTTTCAAGCACAGACCAGGAAGGGAGACACACAGAATGATGGGCAGGTGGGGGGGTGGGGACAGTGTGTCTTAACATCCACTCTGGGTGCTGGGTCCAGGTATCCTCTCCAACACAGCCAAGAGAGGTGCAGTTTCCCAGGCTCTGCCCTTGCTAATGAGTGGTGATTCCATGTATCCCCTTGAACTTGTCGTTTCCTGGAGCCGAGGTGCCTTTGACATCACTGGTGACCTGGAGCCCTGCTGTGTGGGGCCCGGCAGCCCTGTGCCCAACGGTGACCAGCCTACCCCTCAGAGGCCTGACTGGGAACAGGCTTGGGGGTGGGCCAGGGTCAAAGCCTTCCTGACTGCTCCACGGCCCGCCTCTACCTCTACAAACACAGATGCCGAAGGTTCCCCAAGGCGGCGTCCCCTCCCTGCAGAGCTTCCTCAGGACACAGGGATACCAGCTTCTCTCCAAGAAGACTTTATTGAACGCACACACAAAATTCATCCTTGGATTTGCAGATTCAATCCAGCAAGGGAAGAGACAGCAATGCTCTTGTGAACATGGTGCTCTTGCCACTGGCGCCCAGCCAGGGAGACCATGGGTTGGGCTCAGCTTGCCTGAGGCCACCGAGCACCTCTTGCCTTAAGACTCTGCCCACTGAGTGGGCTACCCTGTCCTGATGAGGCTTGGGGGTCTGCCCAGGATGGATCTGCAATCTCTGCTGAAACACCTGAGTGTCCTAGAGGCGCCCCGCATGGCCCAGACGTGACACAGCGCCCCGCTTCCGGTGGCCAGAGGACATTGCTGAGATTGAAAGAGAAGACTTGCCCAAGGGGCCGTGACTGACCAAGGAGCTTGTGCTGGGCCAGCAGCTTTTCACACCCCATGTTGTCGGAGCAAACCTCAGGGCCGGGCCTTGCTCACTCACGGGTGGGGGTGGTCTCCCAGTCCCTCAAACGATGACAAGGCTCCTTGGGGTTATAGGGGCCTCTAGAAACCCCCTTGCCCCCTCAGACACCCCTGAGACTGTGTGTCTGACCATTCACAAATAGGAAATGAGAAATCAGGTCAAAATGTTCACAATTTCCTGCATGTCTCAGATGGTTGTTTTCTTAAATGGTTGGGCCATATTTTAACTTGGTTTATTGAAACTAGTCAATTTCAAGATTCCATCAAATCAATAAAAGTAAAAAGGAAAGATAAAAGAAATAATAACAAAACATTTCAATTTAGCTTTGGTAACGTTGGCCTCAGGAATTTCTATGCTGGCAGGAATCACAAGGTGGGCAGGGAGGGGGTGACTCCAAGCCCTCCTGCGTCCAGGCTGCAAGAAGCCAAGCCTGCCCACTCACCAGGGGCCTGGAGAGGGGCTCAGTGCCCTGCCCCCTCCTGCCCCAAGGAGCCAGGCACTGGAACCCTTGCATCTCTGTGGTGTTAAGCTTGGCCTTCCAGCGGGGGTCTGGGTACCTGCTTCTCAGCTCTACCCCTTGAGACCCACTTGACAAGAGCCAGAGCCTCATGTGATCATAAGTGGAGACCAGGAGAACCTTTGGGGATCCGGGAGAGAGTGTGGATGGCAGCCGGACCCATCCTGACGCTCTCAGGTTTACCTGTTGCCGTCTTGTCTTCTATAATCAAAGTTGCTGGTGCTCCTGGGCCTCATGCAGGGCTGGCTGGGGCTTGGTTTGGTTACCATGAGGGATCCCATGGATCCCTCAGCCCCCAGATCCCAACCAAGTCAGAAAAACAGAGGTGTAGGGGTTGGGGTGAGGACTTAGTAAAGAACGAGTGTGCATATTGCTACAGAGGGTTTGGAAATGCCCCGCCAGGTGGATCCTCCAGCTGGGGGAGGGGGGAGGGGGAGGGGGTTCCTTACTTCAAACTCCAAACCATGTGCCTCTCGTGCAGACGAGCTGGTGTGCCGTCAACGCTCGTGCCCATCGAGGTGGGGTGTGCAGGGCTGGGCTGCAGCTGGGGCAAGAGAACGGGGCTCAGGAGGAGACATCCTGAGGATGCGCGGGGCTCCTGGTGGGCAGCTTCCAGAGGGAAGGTGGGTAGGATGTGGCCTGGGGCAATCGCTGGTCCAGCTGACCTCTTTAGTGCAAAACCCAATTGCGGGGGCGGGGGGAGGGTAGTGGCAGGGCGGGACAGGCACCCAGGAGCTGGGTCGATTACCAGGCTGGAAATGGCGCCATTCTCCAGAGATGGGCAGTGTGGAGAGGAGGACGGGCGGCAGAGAGGGTTCCCAGCCCTTCCCACCAGTAGAACCTGGGCAGAAACAGCAGCATGGGAAGCAGGGCCGGCCGGCCTCGGCTCGCCCCACCCTCGGCGCTGCTCACTCGAAGGTCTCCCATTGCTTCCTGAGCTGCTCCACGGAGCTGGGGGCCGGGGCCGGGGCCGGGGCCGGGGCCGAGCTCATGTCTTGCTTGGTTTTCCGTAACAAATCCTCAAAGGGGTCTCTGGCCTCTCGTGGAGCAGAGGGCTGCAGGGCTGGCTCCAGGCCCTGGGAGGGCCTGGCGGGGAGGAGTGGGGGATCTCCAGGCCTCAGGGCCAGCCCCTGCTTGGCCTCAGCAGCCCTGGCGCTTGAGCGGGCCAGGGGCAGTGTTCGGATCCTCGAGGGGGCGACCGCCGGGGGACCCAGAGGCTGCGGGGAGTGGGTGCCCATGGGCACTTGGCCAAAGAGGTTGGGCATAGAGAGAGCAGACAGGCTGGGCTGGGGTCGATGGGGGGCACAGAAGCCGGAGCCAGACAGCAGGAGCGTGGGGGCAAAGGCTGGCCCCAGGGAAGCAGGACGGGCCCCAAAAGGCCCAGCTGGTGCAGAGACCAGGGGCATGGTGGGCAGTGTCGCTGACACAGATGGGACAAAGGGGTTAAGTGAGGGCTGTGGAAATGGGGTAGGGGTCCCCATGGGGGGAAAGCTAAATTGGGGGGTAAACGGGGTGGCTACATTTGGGGCTGTGGGGCCTGGTGGAAGGGAGCTGCCCGACCAGGTTGTGTTAAGTGGGTCCAGCAGGGCCAGCAGGGCGTCACTGCTGCTGCCAGCAGCCCCTGGGGCCAGGCTGAGTGGCTGGAGCAGTTCGGTGGGGTCTTGGGGTGCAGTGCTGGAGAGGAGCCCAGGGAATGGGGCTGAGCTGAGAGCAGCCCGCCTTTCCCACTCAGCCGGCAGCCGCTCCGAGAAGTCGCCGAGGGCGAGGCCGGGGGCCTGGAGCTTGGCTGGGCGGGCGGTGGGAGGTGGGGGCACAATGCCCAGCTCCGGGGTCTTCCTGCCCTGAGGCCGGGGGATGGTGATGCTGCCCAGGGTGGGCGTGGGCACCTCCTCCTTGTCACTGGGGTTCAGGAGGCCGTTCTGGTTCTGGGGCCTGCAGGGTGAGGCCAGGGAGTTCCCGAGCAGGGCTGAGGGCTTCTTGGGGCAGGCGGCGGGAGGCTTGCTGGGGAGGGCCATGTCGTCCTGGCCTAGGCTCCAGAGCCTGCTGTGCGGGTGGGCGAGCTTCAAGGCCCCTGGTGTCCCACGGCTCCTGTCACTTCTGCCCAGGTCCAACCTCTGCTGGAGGGAACGAGGGAGGTAATGACTGCTGCTGACTGGGACAGATTGGTCCTCCCCACCCCGTCCTGTGCGCCAGGGTCCTGGAAGTGTGGCCAGTTAGGCCTCTGGGGCTCAGAGAAGCTGGGGGCTCAGCCCAGGTCGGCAGTAGAAAGCAAGCCCAAGTCTGTCTGGACTCCAGGCCAGGCTTCTCTTGCTAGGGTGGCACAAAGGGTCTCCAGAGAAAGCCCTGTCTTTTCAAGCCAGCGCTGCCAGTTAGTTTTAGGAAAAGGACTCCATCTGCTGACCCTCTACTGGCCTGACCCATTTTACTTGTCAAAGCATGTGGGCACTTTCAGCCACCCCTGAGCCCAAGAGGGCAAGTGAGGCTCGGGGGCTGGGTGAGGGCACACTGGCTAAGAATGAAATAGGACTGGGCTCTGTCCAGCTCTGCCATCTACTGGGCCACGACCTGGGTGTCACGTCCCTTCTCTTGGCCCGAGCTCCCTCATTTGCAGCCTGGGAATAGCAATTCCCTGCAGAGGGGCGTGTGTGAATCATCGGATATGCATGCTAAGTCGCCTCAGTCATGTCCAACTCTTTGAAACTCCATGGACTGTAGCCCACCAGGCTCCTCTGTCCATGGGGATTCTCCAGGTTAAGAATACTGGAGTGCGTTGCCATGCCCTCCTCCAGGGGATCTTCCTGACCTAGGGATCGAACCCCCGTCTCTTAACATCTCCTGCATTGGTATGTGGGTTCTTTACCACTGGTGCCACCTGGATACATGGGAGCTTTGTGAATTCCACACTGTGACCCAGGGACTGTGGAGTCAGCAGCCCCTTGGCACGAGTGAGGAGACAGGCATAGGTGGTGACAGACTGAAAGTCTCAAGAAGATCAGGGGTCACAAGCGAATATCCAGAGCCCCAGAACTCTGATCCACAGGCTCTTTGAGGAGCCTTGGTAGGGTGGGGATAATCCCAGTTCCACCAGGGGTCACGGCGCTGCCCACCTCTGATGCACAAACAGAAGCAGGGGGCTCTGGCCACTGGCCCGCCTGGCAGAGTTTGCAGTCAGAGTGACTCCGAGCATTGGCTGAGGACCTTGGAAAAGTGGGTCTTTTTCACTGTCATGTGGGAAAACCTGCCTCATGTGCAGAAAGTGCCCCCAGCCTGCGCCCACCCCACCCCCACCATACCTGATAGTCAAAGGTCCCCGGCTGCTCCCTCAGGTCTTTGGGGGTCCGAAGGTCTTCCAAGCTTTTGGCCTGGCCCAGTGGCTGCAGCGGGACTTCCATGTCGAGGTTGCTGAAGACGTCCTCCAGGAGGTCGATGCTGGCGGCCCGGTCATGCGGAGCTGGGGTGGGGCCCACGGGCTCCCGCGCTCGCTGCTCTGGGCTCTCGGCCTCGTCCCCTGCACTGTCTGACTCCTTGAGTGTCCGATATGGCTGCGGCCTGGGGGGAGGCAGAGCAGGCTGGATTCTCCCACCCAGAGCCGTCCCGGGAGGAGCAAGCAGCCCCCACCCAGGAGAACTTCCAGGCCTCAAGGAGCACAGCTGGGAGCCTTTGGAGAGGAGAGTGTCCTGGGTCCCCACAAGTGCAGGTGTCTGTGGATGGTGCCCCTCAGACAGACAGACCGACCAGGGCTGAGGGTTCTGCTCACTGAGGGGCCTTGGGCAAGTCGCTTTGGATCTAGCTTGCATCGGGGAGCCCACTTAGTTTCCTCCAGACCACAAGACCTACCATAGAACTGGCCAGCGGGCTCCCACCCCATTCACACAAGGCGTGAGGAAGGGGCCACAGCTGGAGAGGGAACAGGCAGGAGGACTCACCCCTGAGCCCACTGTCTGTACCCTCACCCCTGCAGCAGTCGGGTCCTGGGCCCAGCTTGTGCGGAACTGAGCTGGGGGAACTCTCCTCCAGGAGGCTGCACGGAGCACCCCAGGATCCTCAGCAGTAAGCTACCTGGGCCTCAGTCCGTGCTGATCTCGCTTCCAGCCCTGGTGCCATCTCTTGCTGTGGGACCTTAGGCAAGTCACTTAAGCTCTCTGAGCCTCAGCTGCTCTCCCGTTCCAGAGTGCATGCCCTCGCAACTGGTGGTGGAGATGACACAAGCAAATGCGGTACCAGGTGTACCAGCAGGCATGCTGAGGCTGTTAACAGCATCCTGTCCATTCGTGCACCAAAATCTTACAGCCGACCCAGGTGCTGGGGACACTGGGTACCTCTTGCTATCCTCTCTCACAAGCCTGAGGCCCAGGGTATGTGGAGAATGCTGCCCAGACTTCTTGTGAAACTGGGCCAGAGTAGCATCCTACTTCCAACCACAAGGCTCTGCCCCGTGGGTCAGGTTGAAACTGCCCATGGCTCTGGTAAAGTGGGGAAGGTCGCCACCTGGTGGTCTGAAGGCCCACTTGCATGAACCTGGACAGGGGGACAGTCAGTAGAGGAAAAGAGGCTCAACTAACAGTCTTGACTCTGGGCAAGGACTATGTCAGACTGTACTATCTCCCTGAAGCCACACAAGCAGCCCGTGAAGTAGGACTCACACCCCCCACTTTAGAGATGAGGAAGCTGAAGCTCAGAGAGGCTAAGTAACGGAACCTATGTCACACAGCACCTGGCAAGAGGCAGAAATGGAAGCCAAGTATGAGAAACTTCTAAAGTCCCTCACTTGTTCTAACTATGCCATCTGACCAAGTTCCTTTAACCAAGTTTGAGCACAGTGAAGGCGACAAAGAAAAGTCAGTGTGCTTTGTAGTTAAGGAAACAAAGTTTCTTTAGAAGGAATCCATTTTAAGCTGGCCGGTTCCCTTTAAACACACACCGAAACCTATGCTTTTCATAGATCATGGTTCAGGGAGTGAGTATTATTTAAAATAATTAAGGCATCAATTAGTTTGAAAAGAACGTGGCTGGCCAGACCCCACGGTGGGCGTCCTTGGCTGTTGTCTATGTGGGATCCCTTTACCAGCAAGGCAATTATAAGTTGATACATGGCTGGACATTTCTTATTCCAATGATGCAATCTTTATTTTAATTAATAATAGAAATAATAACTGATACATTAAGTCTATGATGTTATACATACTATTGCTTAGGACAAGGCTTTTCTCCTAGTTTTAAAGAAGGAGATTCACTGCACAGACCAGGCAGCACGCAAAACCTGAGCAGCACTGGCTTAGGGCACTGCTCTCTGAGTGAGCACCTCAGGAGGGCACTGACTTGCCTGTGGCCACAGGTGAGCTGGTGGCAGAAAGGGCCAGAACCCTCTCCGCCTGTGGGGGCCAGTGGCAGCAGCAGAGCTGTTGGGCTTGTCAGGCGCCCCAAGGAACCCACAGGCCCAGCCTTGGCGGAGAGAGTGGGTGCAGGGAGATAGTGAAGGGGGCTGACAAGGGGGAAGTGGGGGGAGAGTCTTTCTTATGTAATCGGGCCGGAATCGTTCACTCCCCAAGGTCTGCTGTGGGTGTTCAGCAAAGGGCAGTTCCGTTCCCCTGAAGGCTCCCATTAGAAACACCATGCAAACAGATAAACACAGACTAGAGCTGACCGTCTGCTCAGTCCCAGCTGGGAAAAGCCTGTGGGTGGAGAGGCAAGACATGGCGGGAAAAAAAAAGGGCAGCCATCAAAGCCCAATTCCCGGGGTGGCTGGGTTGTGGTGAACCTTTTTTTTTTGTTTCTTTGTTGCAATTTGTAATTAGAAGGAGGCTTAGGCTATAAATAATAATGATAAAAGTTATCTTAAAGTCAGACAAATCGGTAAGATCTTTGGCCATGCCATCATTAATATATATATTCCATACCAGTAACACTTTTTTTTTTTTTCTTTAAACTTAAAATCTGACGCTCCATCTCCATGGCTTCCCAAGGTGTGCTGAGATAAAGGAAGACTGGGCAGCAACAACCAGCCTAACTGGAACTGAAGCTGCAGTCAGCAACCCCATTAACAGTCCAGTGCATTTTCGCTGTGAGGAAGGAGATGTTCCCGTCTCACACCTTTACAGCCCAGGCACCCTTGTCACCTCACCCCATGGCCACAGGCCCGGTGGGGCTGTCGGAATGAACGCCCTGGGAGGAGGCACACGGGGGCGGTGGGGGGGGGGGGCGCCGCCTGCAAGCGGGCGCCGGAAGGCAGCAGCCCCAGGCACCCTCCCCACACACAAGCACAAGCTGGCCACCCCCGCCCCTCCAAGTGGTCCCGGAGAGTCACCAAGCCGAGCTCAGGAAAGCGGAAGGAGGAAGGAGAGACCATTCAAAGGGAGTGGAGAAGAAAAAGCTTTCGGTGAAGCCAGAGCTCGGGCCCTCTTCCCGCTGGCATTCATCGTCAGAGGAGTCTTCGGAGAGGAAGACAGCATAGTGTCGCAAGGGCTTTACGAGGCTGGGGCAGAGGGAGACAAGAGAGAAGACAGTTAGGAGGCACCTCAGGACTCCGCGTGGTGGGGTGGGAAGGAGGCCCGCAGCCTGGTGCCTGACCCTGGCCTCCCTCTGCCGGCCAGGGAGGAAGTTGTCCAGAGAAGGCCCGACGGGCCCCCACGGTGAGGAAGCTGGTCCCTAACAGAAAAGAAACTGTGGGTTTGCCACCTGTGTCAAGGGCCTTAAATGCATCTATGACTTCACGATTTCACTTTCATTTAGATAGCCCAAATTGTAGCAACAGATTACGCACAAAGATGTCCATTACCACTATGTTTATAAAACACAAGACAATCTAAATTTCCACAGTAGGAATCTGGTGAAGTGAATTATGGTACAGTTGGCTGAGTATTATCCTTCATTAAATTATAATGTTTATAAAGAAAAAAATCTAAGAATTAAGAAGCAGAATTGCAATAATACTGCCTTCTGTCTCATTTACTTATGGAAAAATGCATAGAAAAAAGACTGAAAAGACAGGTGTCTAAATGTCAACAAAAGCTAGCATATTATGGGTGATTTTTTTTTCCCTTCTCCCATTTTTTATTTTTGTGTCTTCTACATTTTCTCCAATGTGCATATCTACTTCAATAATCAGGAAAAAATAAAAAATGAAAAAGTTAAAGAAGAAAGTGAGCCACGTGGAAGAGCACTCGCGAGAAGGCCCTTTTCTGATTAGTGGCCGCTCTCTGGAGTCTCCCTCAGATGCCTCTTCAGAGAGTCTTTTTCATCTGTGATGTGGAAATTAAATATTCATTGTTATAAAAAATACATCTCCCTTGTCAGCCACCTGTGAGCTATACCTCTATAAACACAAACATATACACAGCCCAGAGAAACTCCACGCCGGCTCTTATGAATTATACACTGACCAGGGCCCATGAGAGGCGTGAGCTCAGGAGAGAGAGGCTGGACCCCACAGCTCTCGGTTCAAATCCTGGCCCCACGGCTGCTGCCCCAGCATGCAATTGGGGAGCGGGCAGACCACGCCTCTGCCCAGTGCAGCGGGCTGGACGCACACCGAGGGTCTCCTGGGCACTGGTGAAGTTTGGGGAGGTACCTCAAACACAGGAGACACGGGGGTACCTGATTGGGGCTATCTCCTCTCTCCCCAAACCCCAGCCAGGGCAGTCTCCTTTCTTTGCCTTATATGATGCAATTCCCTTCAGACTTCATTTCAGGAAGAGGACACCTGTCCAAAAAAGCGCATGGGCACCAGGGTTGGAGGGTAAGTGAGAGACAGCAGCTGGGGGAGAGTGGATTGTGACCGGCCACTGCTATGACCCACCATCCCCAGTGCTAAGACAGTTGTTACCCAAGAATATGTTGTTCTTTCAAATGTGGAAATCAAAGCTGGCACACAGGGCTGAGGGCCCTAGTATGATCACACTTGACCCTTCATTGCCTTGCACTGTCCCTAGAAGTTAGCCAGGCAGAGAGTTTTGTCCTCATACTGAAAGGGAGGTTGAGGCTGAGAGAGAGGAAGTCACTTGCCCAGGGCTGCACAGGGAGGTCTCTCCCAGGCCGCCTTCCCGAGTGTCAGGGACAAGATGCATGTCAGCCCGCCTGGACTGGTTGGGAGCATGGCCTAGAACGTGCATTTGTCTCTGCTCAGGAGAGAGGGCAGGAAGATCTAGCCTGCAGGAATATGCCCTGGCCAACACAGGGGCCAGACTGGGACATAAAATAGGGCTCAGCAGGAGGGCCCCTGGAATCTTGCTCTGAATCACAGTCCCGACCTTGCCACTCTCCTCTTTACTCCTGCTGCTCTGCACGGTGATTTCACCTCAGCTGGTCGTGCAGTGTCTAAAGCAGCAGCAGTACTGATGTTCAGATGTGTCTGGAATGACTTATTCATCTGTCTAAAGGTTAGGAGGACCCCCCTTACTTGCCAGCACTGGACTGTTGTCCTGAGTAGGGGGCGGGGTGCAGGGGGCAAGCACTCTGCCTTAGGCTGCACTCAGAGAGCTCACGGAACGTGCCGGGCAGGTGGGTGACTGTCACCAAGTCCGCGCTCTGAGCAGGGCAGACACTGCTTTGTGCCTGGCCCGCCCATCTCCGTGCTCCTTTCCTGCTGCCTCCGTTACCTGCCTTTGCCTTTGCCTGCTGCACTGACTGTCCTGGCCTGCAACACTCAGCTCGAACCGCTCTCCTAGATGCCTTCCTGGAGCTCCCAGTGGACTTTTCTCCCTAGGTGGAGTGGGCTTCTCCTTGGGCTGAGCGGGTTAGCGCTTCATCAGTAGAGCTGTGTGTGCTGAGTTTAGTTGCTCAGTTGTGTCCGACTCTGGGCGACCCCATGGCCTGTAGCCCGCCAGGTTCCTCTGTCCATGGGGATTCTCCAGGCAAGAGCACTGGAGTGGGTTGCCACGTCCTCCTCCAGGATCATCAGTAGAGCTGAACCTCTTGCAATTCTGTTTGCGAGGAGGTCCTCAAGGGCAGGGGCCTGGTGCATTCTCTCTATCCCCTACACCTCTGGCACAGCATTAGTGCAGAGGAAGTCTGCTGAGGGACTGAGCAGAAGCCAGCGTGCTGGAGAGACACGGCCTTGCACACGCCCATTTCACCCCTCTTTCTGGGCCCCCACCAGGCACATGACCCTTTCCTCAGCTTGAGGATGCAGTGTAGGAAGGACCCCTCTCTGATGTGGAGAAAAGGGAACCCTCCGACACTGTTGGTGGGAATGTAAATTGGTGCAGCCACTATGGAGAGTCGTATGGAAGTGCCTTAAAAAACTAAAAATAGAGTTGCCATGTGATCCTACAATCCCACTCCTGGGCATATATCCAGAGAAAACTCTAATTTGAAAGGATACATGCACCAAATATTCATAGCAGCACTATTCACAATAGTCAAGACATGGAAGCAACCTAAATGTCCATCGATAAATGAATGGATAAAGAAGATGTGGGACATATATATACAATGGAATATTACTCAGCCATAAGAAGGGATGAAATAACACCATTTGCAGCAACATGGATTGGACCTACAGATTATTGTACTAAGTGAAGTAAGACAGAAAAAGACAAATATCATAGGATATCATTTCTATGTGGAATTTAAAATATGATACAAACGAACTTATTTACAAAACAGAAACAGACTAAGAGACAAAGAAAAACTTATGGTTACCAAAGGGGAATGTGGGTGATAAATTAGGAGTTTGGAATTAGCAGATACAAACTACTATATACAAAATATATAAACATCAAGGTCCTACTGCATAGCACAGGAAACTATATTTAATATCTTACAATAAACCATAATGGGAAAGAATATGAAAAAGAACATTAACTTTAGAATGAATAGGATCATGTTTGTGGATGAAAGTGTTATATATATTGGGGCAGGTGGGAATCTCAGAAAAATGGTTAGAACAGTATACACAAGGAGGCACTGTGCCACGGACTTTACAGGTTATTTCTAGCACCCTGCCCCCCGCCTCCCCAGCAGGAAGGTGTCACTGCACAGATTTTATAGAGGACAAGACTGTCATAAGTCCACTCATCCACCTGTCTGTCCAGTCACCCATGCAGCCAACTGAAAAGCACATCCTGAGTGCCAACTGAGCAGACGCAATGCTAGATGAGCACTGGGGGTCACGGTGACGAAGGTGTGATCAGGCCACCCAACCGGGAGGTGACGAGCAGGGACTCTAGCTCAGAGCCCTCTCCTTCCTGTCCTCTGGGCTGGTGCTAGACTGTGTACACGTGGGCCTCCTATCTCTGCTTGAGTCAAACTGAATGAGGCTTTGGTGATGCTCAAATCCATCCATCAAATGCATTTCCAGAACCTGTCCAAGCACAGTCCCCTCCTCTGGCTTTGACAAGCAAGCAGAGAGTACAGCTTGGCACATAAGCTGCATGCCACTAAAGATGCCAGAAATATCTGGATTCACATGAGAGCCAAGCGCCTTTGTGCTGGACTCTACCTTGGTTTTGTTGGATCAGGCTGCTGCACTTCCCATCATTGTCAGAATCCAGTGCCTCCCACGCGCAAGATCACAGAGGTGCTTGGGGGTGAGGTGGGGGAGAGGGAGCCTCATTGTTCAGCTCACCATTTTCCTCTCCAGCTGGCTCTTTTGACCAGGCCAGGCTGGTCGGACAGGGCTTCAACGTGAGGTCCAGGGTGTCTCCTGGACACACTATCTGTCTCTCAAGAGTGATGGAAATACCCAGACAAGAACTCTGCCATGTGGTTTGATGAGAGTTTCTTCAGGTCCAGGCTTTGGGCCACATGGATGACGACTAGCTATATTTACTGCTGACACCAGCAGTATTTACAAGTGTTGGGCTAAATGCTGTCCATATGGTTTCTGATTAATTACTCATCACATCATCCTTACTCTGCAGATAAAGCGGCCAAGGCTCAGAGAGGCAAAGTCACTTGCCCAGCGTCACACAGCAGCTAAGGCCAGAGCATGGAATTTGGATCTGCCTGACTCTAAACCACTTTGTGATCCTGCCTCTTTAGTTCTGTGGATCTGAAACAATGAAACAAGGTGTTGTGTGTTTCTCCTTCCACTTTTGATAAAAGGTGAGATTTCAAAATAAACTTATTTAAATTCAGCTGCTCATGTTCGCCCATGAAACAGATAGTCAGATATTTGTCAGAGATAAAGGATGAACCGTTGAATACGTCCAGGTTTAAATTTTTTATTAGCTTAAGGCAGAATATGAAAAAAAAAAAGCATACCTCTTCCCTCATTAACCCAATTCAGCTACTACCCTGCAGTCTGCCACCCACCACTTGCCTGGATTTTATTACACACAAAGAGCTGTCTGTGAAAAGGCAGGTCGTGGTGAACCTGGCTACCCAGTGAGGGCTGCCGGAGTCTTGGCGAGAAAGAAAGGCCCGCTGCCCATCACATTCAGACCCCAGCGTCTCCCACGGCTGCTCCCGCCTCTGCCCACCTCATCTCGGCGCCGAGTTCCCATGCAGATGACTCCCCGAACCCTCTAATGT